GGGCGCCAAATTCTCCCACTTTCTTTTGTGTTGATAGGTGCGTTGATTTCTTCTCCTTTTTCTTCTGCTTTGCATCACTAATCCCTCACCATCACGGGTTGTCACTCTGCTTGTCAGTCCGCCGCTTATACGCGTCGTGAGTTTTACTTTCTTTGTCTCTGTTAGAGTTGTACAGCGGCTCCTTCTACTTTGGTGTTGAGGAAGTTGATTCAATTCTTGGTTGTAGAAAACGCTCAGACCCTTCTCAGTCTTTGTTTTGTTTTCTTATTTTGTGGTGATGCCATTGGCTGGGTGAGAAGGTGGGTCGCCGAAGGAAATCATTGTGCTGCTGTTAGAGGTTGCTACTGGCGCCTTCTTCTTATTCTTCTTCTTTTCTTCCCTGTCGCAACCATACTGGAGTTTCTTCCTCCCCTGTTCAGCTGTAGATTTATTTACTCCCCCCTGCTTGTGCGTTATTGGTCCATCTAAAGTGAGCATCCTTAATCTCTTCTCCTTCTCCTTGATAAATCTGTGCATGTGAGTGTGTGATGTAATATGATTGAAGTTGCAAATTTTCACTTGAGTTTCTGCTGTGCTATTCGTGGCTGGAAAAAAAAAAGAAAGAAAGAAGAAAAATTGAATTAAGCTGAAATTTATGTATTGAAAACATGATGATGATAAATATGGATCAGAATTTAACTAAAATTAATTTTGTTTGGGTTAGTTAATGTTGAAGAATTGGTTAAGATGAGCTTTGGTGAGAAAGAACTTAAAATTTTAGTTTAAAAATTTATGCATATAAGGTGTTCAGTAAAATGTTTGTATTGATTTTGGTGGTAATAATCATGTGATATTTGTATTGTGGTTAATTAAATAGCTATGGAAGGAACTTATTTGATATAAAGGAACTAGAGTTGATATTTTTCCTTTCCCACGTACTTACTTTGGATTGAATATTTTAGGTGATAAATTATATATATATATATATATATAAGAAAATGACAATGGTTTTGCATGGGTACTAAGGATTTAAGAACCCAATATGGTTGCGAGAGTCAATTAGAAGCAAGTTATATCTATTTGGGAGCATGTCAGGTAAGCGGATAACGTTCCAATCAATTTATATATTAGAAAATTTTCTATATCAAAATATTGTTTTAACAATTTATAGATATTAAATATTTCTCTTGCATTAGCTCCTTTTGTTAGTTAAATTGCTTTACATCTTAGAGTCATGTCTTATACTTTTTGGATTGATGGAAATACTTTTACAGATTTTAGTAGTCTGTTATTTGATAAAGCCAACTATGAAAATTAGTGAACAATTTATGAAATATCAATTGTGAATTTTCATATTTATAAAGATTGATGTTTTACATGTTTCATGTGAGTTTGATACTGACAAGAGAAATTATATTTTGAAAATGATGATTTTCTCGCTTGTTTGAAAGTGGATTTAAAAAGGAACTTTATACAGAACAATGGCTACTAATGGCAATTCCATTAGCCCTTGGCATGCCATGATATACCTAGCTAGTAGGGTGTTTATAGGAGGTGCTAGTCCCATATGATGACCAACGCACATGAAACAAAGGGATAGTTATTCGTGAGCATCGTAGTCACATTTGTTTCATAGCTTCAGCTGCATTTGGTTATTTACCTTCGTAGACTTTGTATCCACATTTATTTCATGGCTTCCGTTGCGTTTGGTTATTTATTTTCGTGAACTACGTGTCCACGTTTGTTTTCATGGCAAGAGCCGTGTTTGTTATTTACCCTCGTGAACTATGTGTCCACGTTTGTTAATGGTTGTGATAAGTTCCTATAATCATAAATTAGATTATTTGGTGATTTTACATCTCATTGATTTTTTATTTAGTAATTTATGCATAATTATTTATTTTGTTTATTTGTTTTCTTGAAATCACTTGACAACAATATTTGATCTGATATTTTAATGGTTTAAAATTTTATTTAAAGTTATATAGAGCCATTTTATTTTGAAGTTTATTGAATTTTTATGAAAATTGTTATCTCCTACTTACATAATTGTTTCAAACTTTCCTTTTATTCATGTTTAATTGTTTATTGTTGGGATATTATTCATTGAAAAAATATTTTTAGTCTCAGATAGAAAGACTCAACTTGCATTTCAACATGTTCATTGTGGCATTTTATCATTCAAATGGAGTGAAAGAATTATTTTGGCAAGACCCATTTGATGTAATTTGAACCTTACATTAAATCAATGGTCTAGCCCTAGGCGCTCCATGTTGACTATAGGCAAGATCCTCATTTTTATTATAAGATTGAATAATTGTTGGTAAGGAGTGCAATTTCTTTGTTTGTATTATTGTTGTTCTTTGTTGGTGATAAATTTTAGGAAGTCTCAATTTTAGGATACATTTCACTAAGAAATTTTTTTTAGGAAATTTTGAATTTTGGTTGCATGAAAAATATAAAAAATTAATTAATTAATAATAATAAAAATAAAATATCTAAAAATTCTATTTATATATTACGTGTTTATGGTTTAAAAATTTGAAATTTCTTTAATTAAGGCTTATGGGATGTGAGTTTTGTATACATATCCCATGCCAGTCACACCTTATATTTCGGGGCATGACATTAATTGAGCCAACTGATACAGTAAAAACATTCCCTGAAGTTGCATTGTTTCCAAGACTGACTTTGGCCCTTGTCTTAGAAATTTAATAACTTAAGCTACAGAGCTCTAGAAAGCTTGTGATGTCTAGATTATGCATAGAAATTATCAAAGTCAAAAGAATCCATTTACTATAAACATTTAAATGAAACATTAACAGACCTCTAGAAAATCTTGCATCAGAACAGCTTGATACTTACATGTTTAAATCATAGCTCCAAGAGATTTCTGTTTAAGGATGTGGGTTTTGCGGCTTTTAGAGACTACTCATGAGAGGTGGGAGGTTAAAATATATATGGGTTTAGGTTTTCTAAAAAGTTCAAGTCTAATTTTTCTTTTTTGACTCAGGGATTAATGTTTTTCTATTTTTAAATTATATTAACACAATATGTGTATATCTAGTTGAAACCTTTAGATAATATATATATGTGTGTGTATGTTATCTATCGTTCATTTATTTTATCCTTAATTTATCTTTATACATCTATCTGGTGGTTTTAGTTTTAGTTTTTTTTTTTTGTGGGCTGTATAGTTTGTTTTATCTAATTTATGATATTCTTTTATATCTAATCAATTTTTAAATCTCTCTCTCTCTCTAATTTTGTTCTTATCTTTTATTCTATAAGACAATTTTTTTTTATTTTTTTAAGTTGTTGCATGTAAGGATAAATTTATTAAATAACTTTACATCAGCTTAATCTAACAAATTTACTGATTATTCTCCAAAATTGATCTTAGATGCCTCTTTTATCGTCCAAGGCCTTATTTATTTCTTTTACCCTATCCTGGATTCTCTTGACCTTTAACTTGCTCATTCTTCAATTATGGACACTTCCTTGAAGTCTCTGAAAGCATTATGCTTTTGTAACAAAAAGTGTTTTAAAGTATTATTTGGTGCTTGAGTGTAATTCTATCTTTTCAAGGAACTTGAGGGACTCCTGATAAGTTGGGCTAAGTAGCTTATTGAATTATGGCATATTCTTGAGCTTCTAGGCCCAAAATTCTTGATGTTACACTAGCAATGATTTATTTATTCATATTTCCAAAGGAAAAAATGTCATTAGATTTTATTGGTTTGCATTTTTATTGGTCTAAATTTCCGGTTAGAAGAATGAGATTTGAAATGGCAAGCTTTTGCTAGCTGCCCAACGATTTTTCCCATGAAATTGTAGAGAGATAAACTAGGAACCTCATGAGTCTAAGCTTTAGAGAGTAAGGAATACCATATTAGGCTATTTACCAATAAAATTTGAGCAACCTTCCAAATTTTTGTCCAAAGTAGAAACTTGACTGTCCTCCACTGTTTTCGACATAAAATCGAAGCAAGGATCTAAATCTCTATATTAAGTCTTTTATGACAATAAAAGATGCCAAAAGGGATTCGCTACATTATTATTTTATTTGACAATCCTTTTAGTATGCAGAACTATTATGAAAGAAAATATTTTCTTTTCTTGACATTGGTGGACATCTAACCTAAAGTTTACTCAATATGAACGAATTAAATTAGCTCACAAGTGAGGTGTCGCCTTTGCAAATAAGCTCATCCATGCATTTTTTGATTGAAAATTAGTTTGTAGAATCTTCTTCAATGTATCTCTTGAGTTCAAAATATTACAAAGAACAATCACTATGTTCCATTCCTTCCAAATTAATTATGTTGTATTAGTTCACTATAATGACTCTAAATTTTAAATTAAATAAATCCTCTTCCAATTAATATTTAATTTATTTATTTTAATTTTATGACAAATGAGGAATAGTGGCCTAGTGAAATTTATATTAGTTATTTATATAGAGGTCTAAAGTTTGAATCTTACTTAAGCCAAAGGTTACTTTTATTTTCTTATATGGGAAATTACTAAAGTGCCCTTATTTTTATTATAAAAATATTATAATAACAATAATAAAAATTTGGTGTGGTCCCCTTTTGAAAATTTCCCCAACAAGCTTTGGGTCTTGTTTTGTAATTTTCTCAATGAGCTTATTATTTCATTCTCTCGATTTTTCTTGTCGGTTAGAAGCTGCAGAACACACACACACACACAGAGGGGGAGAGAGAGGGACTGTTCCCGTCTGTCTCTGTTAAATAAAAAGTTTAATTTATTTTATTTTATTTGACATTGCATTTGTTAAATAAAATGTTTAATTTATTTAACAAATGTATGCACCCCTTTGTTGCTCAAAAATCTCATCAAACATGTCATATATGATACAACAATCGTTACAGCCACTACATTTTCTTCCATGTTTGGTGAAAAAACATGCATACGCCATACAAGTAATGTGCCAAGCATGTTTTTGAAAGGAAATATACAACATAAATTGAAAATAGAGTATTGCTTGTTTAATGATGTCAATGATGTTGCCTTTGCATAATCATGTTCTTGATCTTGTTTAATGACACAACAACATCTGTCATGTTGCTTCGCATTTCAAGAAAATCAATGCAACAATTTAATGCCAATTCAAAAATACTGGATGTAGAAGTCAATATATCACCAATATACTGATCATCACCCTGCAATAAATTGGAATCTATGACATTAATTATTTCATGTAGCATTGAGTCACTCACCCAACTCTTCAAGTTCAATCCTGCAACAAACATGTCTTCTGTTGGTTTTCTTCGTGTGAACACTTCCATTAATATAATTCCATAGCTATACACATCTACTTTTGTTGAAACAACTCTAGTAGATCCATATTCTGCATAGAATTGGATTCAAGCACCAAAAAATCAATTATTTCTCATAGTCATAATTTATGAACCAGAATAAATTAAAAATACAAATTTAATTAAGATTAATTGTTCAAAATTGATCATTTGTATTGGTGTTTCTTGTGTAATCATTACACTATGATTTTTTATATACAATTACAATATAGCAATCCTTGAGAGACTCGTTTTTAGGTCCAACAAAAATGCATGCTGTAGTAATTTGCATCCCCCCTCTCTCATATCATGTACATGCACATAAAAATAATTAAAGCAACCAAGCTCAATGAATGCAAAATATAGAAAATAAGAAATCCTTTTGGTTGCCTATTTTATGAAAGAACCTTCCTCAAATAAAACATTAGAATATATATATATATATATATATATTTGAATTTACTTTTCTCTATTTAAGAATTTGGAGGAAATGGTTTCAAGTATTTATTTGACAGGTGACTTTAATGAAAATCAATTAAGCTTCTTATCTATAGAGATCAAATCAAGAAGATCTAATGCTTTGTGGTTACAATCATAGTATTGCTCATAGAAGGTAATGAATATTTTGTATATTGATTTTTCTATGATATTGCTAATTTAAATAATAAGTGATAGAGTATGAAAGAATTCATAAGTATCATTTAATAAGGTGACTCCAATGTAATCTAAAAGAAATTAAGAACCTAAAAGAATTCTTGAAATATAGATGCAAAAAAGAACATGATGAAGCCAGGTTTAGAATAATTACCAGGTGCTATATATCCAATTGTAGGTATTGTCTCTGTATGTATTCTAGATTGCCCTTCATCTAAAAGTTTGGAAATTCCAAAGTCACTCACATGAGCAACCATATCACCATCCAACAAAATGTTACTTGGCTTCAAATCGCAATGAACTATTGGTGTTGACAAGCCATGATGGAGATATTCCAAAACAAATGCTACATTTATCATTACATTGAGCCTTTGTAAAAAGTCCAAACAATAATTGTGAGAATACAACCATTTTTCAAGGCTCCCTTTAGGCATGAACTCCATTATCAAACATTTGAAATCAACATTGGAACAACAACTTACGATGTTCAAATTATAATGACGCACATTACGCATTGTGTTGCATTCCACTTCAAAGCACCTTGACATTTTTTCAGAATCAAAATTAAATACTTTAATTGCAACAGTCATCCCATTCAAAAGCTTTCCTTTGAACACTTCACCATAACTCCCCTTTCCAAGAATGTTACTCTCATCAAATCCATTAGTGGCCTCCAAAATTTCAAAATATGAAATCCTCCTTGGCCCTCCTAAAATAGATAAACCCCTCTCAATTGGTTCCCTTAAATTTGAATGTCTATGTCTTAAAAGGATAATACCTAAGACAATTAAAATTGTTGACACAACAATGGGTGATATGCATTTTAGTAAAAGTGATTTTGCCCATGACCATTTTCTTCTTCCTTTTTCACAAGGAGGCACTTTTAGTTGTGGAAGGCCACAAAGAGCTTCATTCATCATGAAAGATTCAGCAGTCAAATTTGCAAAAACTCTACCACTTGGAATCTCTCCTTGTAGTTTGTTGTAGGAGAGATTGATATACTTAAGATAAGTAAGTGACTCTAAGGATTTGGGGATCTCACCGGATAAATTATTCTTAGAAAGGTCCAAATTTACTAAGCTCAGCATATTTCCAAATGATTTAGGAATATTTCCTTGCAAATTGTTGTGTGCTAAGGAGAGATCTTGCAAGTTCATTAGTCCACCCAAAGATGTTGGAATATTTTCTGAAATATGATTTCTTGACAAATCTAGTGATATAAGAGCATTTAAGTTTCCAATACTTGATGATACATTTCCAACTAAAATATTGGAAGATAAGTTTACTTTCAATATATCCTTCAAATTCCAAAAGGAGGAGGGTATTTTTAAAATTAACTTATTAGAGTCCAAGTAAAGTTCTCGTAAAGAGGTAACATTTCCTAAACAATGTGGCATTTCTCCAAAAAACTTGTTTCTGCTTAATGATAAATAGGCAAGCTTTGTGATTTCACATATCTCATCAATGATTAGGCCATGTAGCTCATTGCCTTCAAGATTCAAATATTGAAGACCCTGTAAACCACCAATTACTTTTGGAATTGATCCTGTCAACATATTTTCTCCCAAGGATAGTTCATAGAAACTAGTGAGATTCCCGAAATTTGATGGAAGATTGCCAATTATAGAATTGCTTCCAAGATTTAAGTATCTCAAAGTTGAAATGTTAAAAATGTTGGATGGAATAGATCCGCTCAACTTGTTATACGTCAAATCTAAGATCTCAAGCTTATGGAGATTGCCTATTTCCATAGGTATTAAACCTGTATTCAAAAGATTAATTTTGGTGAACTTATTTAAAGTGAATAATAAAAATAGTAATTAAGACAAATATCTAAAAAATGAGATGTATCATTGTCCATACTCCTTTATATATTAGGTGAGTCAAGTTCTACATATAGAGTTTAGCTTTCTCCCCACACACACGCACACACTAACAAGATGGACGCTTATCTTTTACATAGATTCTTTAAATTATTTTTATAAATGCAATTCAGCTTATAAATAATTAAAAAATAATTCTGTTAAAATAAATAAGAGATTAAAGACTTTTTATTTATTTGTACCATAGTTGAGCATTGTAATCTAAATATAAAAATTAAATCATACTCTTGTTTTTTGTCCTAAACATGCCTCCAATCCAACATTTAATGGTTGAAACTGAGAAAACTTATTAAGATTTTAGATTAAATTTTCAATTTCAAATATTGCAATCTCTTACAAAATATCTTTGTAATGGGGTAACTGACAAAAAAAAACCAAAAATTAATGTTTCTGATTTTGCACAAAAATAAAAACATGTGAACTTGAAAAAATGATTGTAGCAATTATATATAATTTTTTAAACTGTTAAAACATGTCTACAATGTTTAGGTTTTTAAGATCACCAATTTTATTAGGAATATTTCTTGCAATTAAGCAACAGATAAAATAACCATATATAACAATGCTTTTGCTTGTTGAATGAATACCTTCCAAATTATTGGAACCCACAGTTAACTTTTGAAGCATGGTCAAATTTCCAATACTTTTGGGTATATGACCTGAAAGAAGATTGAGACTTAAAAGCATAAGGGACAGTACATTAATTAAAGCACAATTTGTCTAATGCCATTTAGAAGTCACAAATTAGATCGGCATGAGGTATTCCCAATAATTTCACTCATTTTAAGAAAATACTATTACATTGTTAACTTTGCTAAAAATCCAAAGATTCTAGTTTTACTTGTTTTTTTGATACTGTAGTTTTACCTTTCTTAAATAAACGAATTATTCTGGAAAAAAGGAATTAAATAATTTTTTTAGAGAAATAATACTCATCAGGCTTATGTCTCAGACCAAGTAGCCTAGTATTATAGCAGGACATAACATATATATGGTATCATAAGTTAAGTAAGACCCATCATCATCATATAAATTTTTGGCTAATATATATTGTATGAGAATAAGACCATGTAGTTTGCTTAACTGAAAAAGTTGTTTGTGTGGTGACAGTTCATGAGCTAATAGCATGAGCTCACTCTAGATCCTGAACAACTCATATGATGACATCATATATATATATATATATTGTAGTATTGAAGATCATAATTTTCAAATGTCCACTATCTCTGTAATTTCTTTAAGAATATCTTTAACAATATTATTGTAAAAGAACAAACAAAAAATGAAAACAAAAAGGCAATGTTTTCATTTAAAATGATGCAGAGAAAATCATTTAAGACAAATATGGGTAATAATGCATGGGCTATTGAGCTTTTACGTATTTAATTTTTTTATATTTATCTTAAAACAGCTTTGATAGGGGCTACTTGTATATTTATTTATTTATTATGAAAATAATTTGATTCATTTAAAAAAGAACTTCATTTATGGAAAAAATGAAAAAAAAAATAAAACATTGTTTATTTTCATCCTCCCCCTTTCTTCTACCCTCCCTCTTTCTTTCCAATACACGTGGAATCTTTTCAATTATTACTTGATTTAACACGCTCATTTGCAAGATATGGAATTGTTTTGCAAACAAAATAGAATTAGATATATAAAAAATCATTTTAATCAAAATATGTCATTGAGGTTCATATATACAAGGGTACAAACAGATAGTGTTTTTAGTATGTTTATAGACACTGTTTTTAATTTAGGCTCATATACAAGGGTATGTAATATGTTTGCCATAGATGAGGGTGGAAGATGGAAACAGGGTAGTTGGTTGTGAACTGATGTAAGCTTTTTTTGGGAAAACAGAATTTAAAAATTATATAAATTAATTTTATATCTAATAAAAATGATATCAAATTTTTGTTTTACTTTACATTTTTTTTCCAAAACAGGTTTGATACCAGTTCCTTAAATTTTGATTACTTTTTAAATATAAATTAATTTGTCAATGTAGATTTTCATTTAAATAATAGCAGATAAAGAAGTCCAATTTGTTTTATTGTTTTGATCAATACCAACGTCAAATGCATAAAAGTGCAATCGAAATATATTTGATAAGATTGAATCTAGAAATTTGACTTAATGAGTAGTACATACCTTTGAGAAAGTTGTCTTCTAATGTTAAGTTTTTCAGGTCTTTGCATTGTGTCCAACCAGATGGTATTGGTCCAAATAATTTGTTGACGTGAAGACTCAAATATTGTAAATTTGGAAGTCCATTGCATATATTAGAAGGAATGCCTCCCGACAAATTATTCCAACTTAAATCAATATCCCGCAACTCAGATATATTAAAGATAGCAAATGAAATTTGGGCAGAAAACTTATTTCCGCCTAAATGTAAAATTTCCAGACTTTCAAGATTACCAATCTCTTTGGGAATATCTCCTACAATGTTATATAAAATAGACTCATCAAATTTGTTGTAATCAATCAAAATATAACTCTTCAAGTTGGAAATAAAAGAGGAAAGAAAAATTTAAGATGATTTTTTAAAGCTATTAATAATTTATTCTTCATCAATTTTTGAATTAGGAAAGGGGAAGTGAAAGGAAGAAAAGATAATGAAGACAATAAAGGAGAAGAAGTTGAGATGGAGGTGTAAAGGCATAGACAACCCATAATCTGATAGTTCAATATGTATTTCTCATGCGTCTCTCTATGTAGAGAATTAAAAGGAAAATCTTCATCGTCTTGATGTGTGAAAAATAAATAGAAGAAAAAGAAATTATTGAGAGATTCAAAATAAAAAAGACATGGACTTGGAAGGGAAAATCTTCATAGAATCATCAAGAACACTATTATATGATTGCCTATACTTTTTAGCCTAGGAAACAGGGGTAAACAAAGTAAAGAATTCTCGTGCAAGTGAACCACTAATCTAAAAATATAGTTAAGTTGTCAATTTTGACAGTAACGCATCATGAGCTGTTGGAACTATAGTTAAGTTTTCAATGTTAGTTAAGTCAAAATTATTACAACCAAAATAGAAATAGCTGAAAATTTTTATTGCATATAACAACATCATATATCTGTTCTTTCTAAACATTGGCTTCCCAAGTTAGCATCCCTAAAATTAAGATTTTTTATTCACAAAGAATTATTACAATAAGAATTTCATAAATGCTCAAACTTATTGATACCTTGTAATAAAACAAAGGTGAAAATGAAAAATAAAATGCATCTCGTTCATAGTAATTCTTAGAAAATAATATAAAAATGTTGCAAATAAAAACATAATATGAAGAAAAAGAACTCAAATGCTGTAGAAGAGAAGACATCCTAACCAATATCACTAAAATTAACAATAACTAAAGTCTCTTTTTAGCTAACCAAAACTAAAGTAATTTTATGCATAAAGAATTATAGACATAGGATATTTTGCACATGCACAAATATACTAACCCAAGAATTTTAGTAAGAATTAAATATTATGGTCAGTTCTTTTGAGAGTATTTTTATAAATTTTGAGATAAATCTATCAAGAAAAATTGGTTGTTGAATGGAAACTCTGCTGGTAGCCTATTACAAGGTTGTGTGTTCAAATTCTTGTTGTGAAAGAAAAGGAATTTTATTCTTTTTTTATTTAGCCTTGAGAAATTATTATATTTGTTGGACACCCAAGTGTTGCAAATTGCACAACACAATTCTTGTCCATATGGAAACATGAATCTAAATATGCAGTTGAGGGATCTAAAGCATGATGATCAAAGATAGTGAAGATGTAAATTTAAAAAAATATCAGTTTGTGGAGTATTAATTGAATCAAAGTAAAAAAAAAAAAAACTCAACACACCTTTCTAGGCATTAAAATAATAATTATGTTTGAAGCCAAAAAAAAAGGTAGAAATGAATTTAAACTAAAAAACAAGGGAAATTTTATTAACACATGTTCACTGCACTACTATTCACTTTTTTTTCACAAAATGGTTTTCCGAACACACGTAAGAACCTTCTTGAGGCATGTCCTAATTAGCATGAGCTAATCAAATGAGTGTCAAGGCAATATTCTTGCACATGATTTTTCCTGGAAATATAATTTCTTGCCATGTGCAGAGTAATTCAAAAAAAAAAAAAACAGAGAGCTTGTTTTAGTACTGATGGATGATAAGATATCCTAAAAACAAAAATGAGTAGCACTTACATATTTTGTTAAAGAAGTGCTTTGATTCAGTAAAAATAAGATAAAGGTTTCCCATTTTATCTAAGCAAGAAATATATCCCAAAGAATATATAATACCACAAGATAGATTAAAGTACAGGAAATTTGAATAATAAAAATTGGAACATTGTCTTGTCAATTTTTTTTTTCCCGCCAACAACTCGCTAGCCAGAGGCATGAAAAAAAAAGTAATATAACCAGATAGATTGCAAAAAAAATAAATGATATACGTTTTATGTATAATGTACAGGTTAGATACGAAATTCACAATTTTAAAATATTATACTTCTTTGTTAAAACATTTAAATCTATCTGAAAAATAAGGATGGCTTTTTTGGCTTTTACATATTCTCGTTTACTCCTCAACTATTAATACAGATTTTGTTGATCATTGCATAACTTAAAAAAAAAAAAATTAAACTATGCGTATAGTGATGCTTCACATTTTCAATTTTGTTTTGGGTGAAATCACATATTTAATTTTAGATAAAAAGAATTTTTCAAGATTGTATTATTCATTTGGCAAACTAAAAGCTATAGGTTTAACTAGTAAACTTAAACTTGTTTTTATGTCTGGCCGAAAAACTTTTATCTCAATTATTTAATAACTATGATAATGATTGGACATTTACACTACTTCAACATTAATATATAAATCAATATATACACACGTTTCAAATATTATCTCAAATTTTGAAATTCCAATGAGGGTCTAAATAATAATTATGTAAATAATAACTTTCACTTCAGAGAAACTTTATATAAAAAGATTATATATTCAACATCATTCAAAAATTCTAATTTTGTTTAATTTTGTTTAGATTTTTTCTCAAAAATTGGCTTTCCAAACAAGCAACAAAGAACGACTCCTGAGATTAAGGAAAGAGAAGTCAAAAGAAGATAAGATAACAAAAATAGTAAAGAAGATGTTGAGATAGAGCTACAAATTAAAGACATAGACAACCCATAATCGGATAGCTCAAATTAAAAGGAAAATCTTCATAGAATTGATTATTGAAAAATAAATAGAAGAAAAAGAAACTATTGAGAGAGTTAAATGAAAAGAGCACGGATTGGAAGGATAAATCTTCATGTAATCAATAACACTATCGCATGCTTACCTCTGTTTTGAAGTCCAAAAAACAGAGTAATACAATTCTATAATATTTGATGGACACCAAAGTTTTGTAAATTTCACAACACAATTCATGTGCATGTAAGCCACAATTCTAAATGTGTAACCGAGGGCTCTAAAGTACAACGATCAATGATGGTGAAGATATAAATGTAAATAATGCCTTTCTCATTGCTTGCAAGAGCATGAGAAGGTAGAAAGCAAGAAATAGATAATGATGGGGTTGTGATGTGAATGTGTTCATATTTTTAAATTTGGAAGATCACCCAAAATTCCTTAGGATTATTGCTTGTCATATGATTAAAGAACTCAAATGAAAAGGACAAAAAAAAAAAAAACATTTTTCTAGTGGTGCTAATAAATTTATTTTAAAATCTAAAAAATACTAAAAAATATAAATATTATATTTTTCTTAAGGCATACCTTGTAAGTTATTCTCACTGAGGTCTAACATTTGAAGCATATTCAAACTCCCAATTGCTTTGGGAATATCTCCTATAACTTAAAAATACAATTTTGCAAGGAAAAAAAACTTGTACATAATATATTTTAGCATCATAATAAAGCTGTTATCTTAAATACCAACAACGATTAATGATGACATGATCGAATGAAAAGATACGTCTTAAAAAATTGGAATAGAACAGCCATTTTAATCGGTTGAACTGGAACCACCTCTTGGCTCGTTCCAGTACGATAGTCAAAAGTGGACACTGAGTGAATTGATCAATGACTGAAAAAGTGATATAATGTTACAAATGAATTCTTACTTAATGCATGATGTGGTTAATTATTATGCATTACTAAAAAAAAATCAACAGCCAAAAATTTTGAAGTCTCTGCCTTTCCTACGCCTTTGCCCTACACCTCAAATATAAACAAATCTTAGCACTATGCATTGAGGAATATGCTTACCTCTTTTTTTCAGCCCATAAAATAGAGATGTTGATTCTGGTTTATGGGGATTAAAGTTTTCTATTTTCCAATTTATTAATTCTTGTTTACAGTTTAAGGAAAACAACTGATATGGAAATTTTATATTTTAATTGGTGTAGATGTTAACATTGTCACCCTAGTGATTATGTTCCAACTGACAAAAGAAGAACAAAAAGGAATGAAATGATCGATAGTACTAAACTATCATTTACGAATAGTATATAAAATTTCCAATGCATCTTTATGTTGCCAAAGAACTAATTAAAACCCAAAAATGAAGTCATATCAAAAGTGAAAATGAATAAAACATAATATACTAAACAAATGGTATTAGACAAAAAACTTTCTTGATACCAAGAGACAAATTTTGTAATTTTAAAGTTTCATGAAACGTGTTAAAATGATGCAATATAACTTTGAGATAATTGACAATATAAAAAATAAAAATAAAAACAAGACTACTAACTTGTATTCCATGAGAAGATAGTGCTATAAGTGAGGGAGTTAACTAGAACATGCAAAATCATTTTAAATGTGCCTCTAGTAAACTTGCAAAAACTAAAAACCCCTTTTGTAAATTCAACGGAAAAAAATAAACATTATATTTAAAAATAAAAAGACATGCAGTTCAATATAAATTAAATATCTTCAATCCTAACACAATTCATAAGCCAAATATATCATATTGGCTTTTTATACAATATATATTATATATGGATAAATTTTGATAAAAAAAATAATATGTCATTTAAATTTCACTTATATTGAACTTTATCACTGCACTGAATGTTGTTGAGCAATTTTTCAAAAAAAATATAACATCCAAAAGACTATCTATAAAACATTTAAAGGACATTATGTTAATGTCTTTCTAAAATAAAAATACTTAGTAAGTACATGTATATTTTAAGATATACCAGTTCAATTTTTAGTTTGTACAAATAGATTTATCCATGCAATGTATAGAAAGAAGTTATGTTGTAGTGCAATTGAACTAAGAAAATCAATGATAATTTTATTAACACTTTGATATCTTTGATATGAAATATGAACACATTTTGAACGTTGCCTCACATCTAGAATTCTAGCAATAGTATCAAAAACCATTAATTATACAAGAATTTAGATTGACCAATTAACGAAATTTAAAATTGG